AGAGTTGTTTAAAATTTCCCGAGATAATATAAAAATCAATATATATCAAAGAAAGATTGTCTGTATGTATGTATGTATATATGTATGTTCATTTGTACAATGACCAAGTGCATGTCATTTTATAAAGAAAAATTGGTGGAGACCAGTAAACACCAAATTTCAATAAAATTCACACCCTGTTTTTTTCCGAGAGGGGGTTAAAAACTTTTTAGTCTGCATTTTTCATAAGAAAAGCTAAATGTGAGTATGAAATAATAATTCCCTTTACCCATGAGTTTCAAATTTGGGCGAGCTGAGGAAATAGATAGAAAGAAATTTGTGAGCCTGTGGAAAATTTTCTTTGGACTAATGAAAATTTTGAGTTCAAAGATTGACCAGTGAACTGAAGAAAAAGACAAAACAAATTTGTGAATCTATGTGAAATTTTCTTTGAACCAATGAAAAGGTTGTTTTTACAGGAATTAGCCATTGACCCCAGAAAAGGAAAGAAAAGAAAATAGTGATCCTATGCAAAATCCTTTTTGATATCAAATAAGGAGAAAAATTAAATCAACAAGAGAAGAGCATCCAAAGTCATATGAACAGTTTAATTTCTGTTCACGAATCCAGTGTTCAGGTTTTCGCCACTGATTATATTATCAGCCTTAATGAAGTGTTCAGCATTTCAAAGAACTTTATTTCAACTATCCAAGAAAGCTAAGTGTTCCTCATCATTAACATCCATCATTAATCTTCTTGGCATGGGTAAACCAACTGTTAATTTTAACCCTGAAGTCCCATGCCACTATAGAACATCATCAAACAAGACTTTTAGCAACTCAAGAGAAAGCAAATGAAAGGGTTTCTATAAGGAGAGCTATGGAGGATACCACCAGAACACAGAGGGAAACATATTTGAAGCTTGAAAGTGCACAAAATTCTTTACATCGAGCAGTTGAAACATCAGAACAAAGGGAAGAAAGAACGCAAACCGAAAGACCCGGGATGGCTGCAGTAGATCAGAGACAGGAAAGGCTTCAGGAAGCCAGAGCTTGGTCTGCTGCTTGCAAAGCAGCTGAAACACCTGAGCAAAGACAGGAAAGGGTTTGGGTAGCCAGAGATATAGGTCCATTGCTTGCAGAACAACTGAGAGGTGAGTTGAGACTCCTGAGCAATGACAGGAAAGTCTGAAAGTTGATAGAGGTAAGTCTGCTGCTAGCAGGGTAGGAGAGACTCCTGAGCAAATGAGATGAAAGTCTACAAGCCAATAGAACATGGAGGGCTGCTCACAAATCAGCTGAAAATCCTGAACAAAGGCAAGAAAGGCAGCAGGTTGGCAGAATTAGAGAACAAGGAAGAGTTGCCTTTACATGGGAGCAGTGGCACTGTGCTGCCTTCAACTATCAGCTGGAGCATGACTACGCTTCTGAAAGAAAGTGACAATAGGCTCTATGTCTAAAGTCTGTGGTAAATGTGAAGACAAGAAGGTTGAAGAAACTCCTGGAATGTGTTGTTCAAGTGGCAAAGTTAGGATTCCATTATTGGAAGATCTGCCACAGCCTTTGAAGCTTCTTCTTTCAGGCACTACACACGAGTCAAAACACTTTTTGGGAAACATTAGGAAGTACAATTGTGCTTTTCAAATGACTTCATTTGGGGCTAACATTATTAGAGAAGGTGGTTTCGCATCCACTTTTAAAGCACAGGGTCAAGTGTATCATACGATTGCATCCCCACAGCAACTAACAAATGAAGAGCCATAATTTCTTTAGTTATATTTTGTTCAGTGTTTTCCAAGAACAAGCAGTTAGTCGTAATTCTATTTCACCTGGCACCATGCTTGAGCTTACACGGAGACTGCAAGAGATGATACATTGTAGAAATAGCTATGTCAAAATCTTTAAATATGCTCTGGAAAGTGCTCCTACTCACATGTTTAATGTAATTATTGATGCAGACAAGTTACCTACTGGACAGCATCCAGGACATTTTAATGAACTCTCCTGCTATGAAATAGCAGTAGTTCTCCATGGTGACCAACATAACGAGAGATAATGTTCTAACAACATTCTTCAACAAATTAATGAGACACATAGATCTTATGATGCTCTTTAGTATCCTCTGCTATTGGTTAATGGGGAAGGTGGTTACCATTTTGCTATTAAACATTGTAATCCAAGCAATCCATAGGACAATTTAAACAAAGGAATTCTATGTGCACCATTTTATGACATGGGGCAACTCATTCAAACATCTTCATCACCCTCTAGATCTCTTTCATAAATATGCAGTTGATATGGCTGCAAAAAAGGAGTCTGTGTTTTGTTAGAAACAATCAAAAGCAACTGCAATCAGAGAATTATATTCATCTGTTAGATGCTGTAAACAATGATGTAGCACCTGGTAATCTTGGGCAGCTCTGCATTCTATCATTAAGCTTTACAGGAGGGCCTTGATACATGCATGAAAGGACACAGGATGCTATGACCTATGTATGTTACTATGGTAGGCTATATCTCTTCGTAATTTTTACATGCAACCCAAAGTGGAAGGAAAGTGAAGACAAACATTTTATGTACAAAAAGACCAGATAAACTTGATCTCTTTGCCAGTCTTTTACCAGGAGGTGGAGAAGCTCATTAATCTGATAAAAAAAAGGGAGGAAAACATATGGGTCCATAAATTGTGACATGTACACAATTGCATAGCAAAAACAGAGTCTACTACATGCTCACATTCTGCTTTGGCTGGCAAGAAAAATTTGCTCTGATGAAATTGAAAGGATAATCTCAGCAGAGTTTCCAAATCCATCGACAGACAAGGAAATTGTTAAAACGAACATGGTACATGGCCCATGTGGTAGGGGTTTTAACTTCAACTCACCATGTCTGAAGGACAATATATGCTCAAAGAAGTTTCCCAAGAGATTTCTTGTGGAAATACAAAATGTTAATGACAGATACTCTTCTTACAGGCATAGAAACCCAGATAATGGTGGGTTTTCAACAAATTTGGACAACATGAGATTGACAACTGGTGGATAACACCCTATTGTCCCTTGCTGTCAAAGACATTTAATGTTCACATTAATGTTGAGTTCTACAACTTGGTGAAATCTATCAAGTGTGTTTGCAAGTACATCAACAAGGGATCAGATGCAGCCATGTTTGGCTTGCAGCAGGAAAATAGCCAAGATGAGGCAAACCAGTATCAAATGGGCCAATACATCAGAAGTAATGAGGCATTTTGGCACATGTTTGGCTTCCCACTATATGAAAGGCTATTGTGCAACTTGCAGTACATTTGGAAAATAGTCAACATGTCTACTTCACTTAAGCAAATGCTGTTCAGGTAGCACACACATCCAATGATACTGCACTCACAGCTTTCTTCAAGCTGTGCCAAAATGGTCCTTTTTCCCAAACACTTTGTACTCCCAAGTGCCTTATGTCTGAAAAGCAAAAAGGAATGTGTGCATAGGTCAAGATGTACTGGAGCACCCTGGTATTAAGTTTGATGAGAGCCTAGGTAGAGTGCACACTGTACATCCCAGACAACATGAGTGCTTTTATCTTTGTCTACTTCTTCACAAAGTTCGAGGTCCAGGATCTTAAAAATATAAACAGACTGGTTTGTACAACTTATCAAGAAACATGCTTGAGTCCAGGTTTGCTTGAAAATGATGCCCAGTGGGATGCAACAATGGCTGAAGCTATTGTGTCATAATCTTCTGGAAATCTTTATCTGATAATCCAATTTGTGGTATCATCAAAATCTCTGAAATGGCAGGTTCATCGAATGGGATGAATGTACTATGGCATACAGGGCAGCTCTGGAAGCATTGGACTGAATCATGAGACATTAGGGATTGTCAGTCACCTATGGGAGTTATAATACTCCCACTATCTAGAGACTTTAGGCAAACACTGCCTGTCATACCAAAAAAGACCAGAGCTGATAAAGTCTGAGCATGTCTCAAATCTTCTCCATTGTGCCGAAATATTTGAATGTTGACTGAGCACCAACATGAGAACACAATTATTTGGAGATCAGCCATCAGCTCATTTCTTCTGCAACATACTTTTAGATGCCAATGGCTCCAAAGAACAAATCAGTTAACAGAATCAATGACCAACTCTTGCAGTCCTTCCAGGTCATGATGTGGATACCATTCCAAATCAGGTGCTTAATTATCCAGTGGAATTTCTGAATTCTCAAAAACCTTCCCGACTATTTTCACATAGACTGGAACTCAAGAGGGTGGTGCTTATAATGCTGTTATGGAATCTGGATCCACCAAGACTTTGTAACGGCACCAGACTAGTGGTTAAAAAGTTGATGCCACATGTAATTGAGGCATCGTTTCTTACTGGGTATGGAAAAGGCAAAGATGTCTTTATTCCCAGGATTTCCCTTATTCCATCAGGGTTGGATATGCCATTCATGTTTAGGAGACTTCAGTTTCCAATATGAGTAAGTTTTGCTATGTCTGTTAACAAAGCCCAAGGCCATACTCTGTCAGTTACTGAACTACAGTTAGAAGAATCCTGTTTCTCTCATGGACAGTTTTATGTTGGTTGTTCACGTATGAGAAGTAAAATCAATTTGTTTCTTTATGCTTCACAAGGAAAGACAAAGAATATTGTCTACCAAGAAGTATTGTAATGTGAAAACTGTTTAAAGATGTTTTTCTGTTTCAGTAACTGAATTTGAAGTTATATTGTTGTTATAAATTTATGTTTAACTTTTTACATCCTCAGAAATGCCAATTAGCTCTGCTAGTACATTATAAATTAAAAAAATTTCCTTAAAAAATATCAACTTTTTTTACTCAAATGATCATTACTTTTAAATGTGCACAAATTTGTATATGCAATATAGTATTTGTGTGAATAGATAAAGTTAAAAAAATAACACACATGGAAATGCTATTGTACAGCTAAACTTAATGAAATCTAAATTAGATTTAGAAGTTTATAAATAATTTTTGTTTATTTTGATTTGATTTGATTTCAGCTTACCTAAATTGTTGATCCAATTTTTCTTGCACTAATTTTAGCCTTTCTGCTTCTCGCTTGTCTTTTAGGATCTTGGCTCTTTGCTTCATTGCTTCTTGACGCTGGTGTGGTGTTTCTTCATTTTGTTCCAGAAGATTGAAATACTCTTCTTCTTCTTGTGAAAGCAATTGTCTCAACCTTGATATACAATGAACAACTTCCAATGAGCTGGAGACTTACTTTAAATTCTTTTAATCATTACCATTAGTGAAATTTCTTGTTTTAAAATGGAAATTCAGTTCTACAATGTTTTTAACTCTGATAAGAGACAAATATTTGTCACTTGGATCAAGAGAAAAATGAAGATTATCAAATCAAACATATGCCTGACAAAGAGTGAAGAAGTCACCAAGTGAAACATTCTGATTAAGACAATAAATGTGCAGCTATCAGTCTGAATAAGTAATTGAATAATGTCAGTGTTTCACCACAGAATTTTAGCCAATAAAATATGTACATGTCAAAAATCCCATACACAAATTTCAGGAGAATATTTTACCACCCAAAACAAAATCTTTAAAGACTTAATTTCTTCCCTTATTGTTTGGAAATTATATTTATAGTTTTATTATAAATATAATTTAATGATAAATAAGTAAAGTTGTTCATGTTTCTTTTTAAGTTGCTTATTTTTTAATCAAATTTCCACAATTCACTCAAATGTTCAAAGTTTATTAATTTAAACAGATCATTTATCATTTTTCAGCTATTATGATAGTCGGAAAAAAATACTTAAAATTAATTTCAATGGTTCTTTTTTTAAATATGAAAACATTTCTCTTAATTATATCTGTAACCTTTAATGATGGTTTTCACTTCTATAGATTATACTGGCTTCATAAATAAAGTTTATATTTGCTTCATAGATACATTTGCAATTGTTTTTCAACTTCTTTGTACATTAAATATCAATGAATATTTTTACCTGGTTTACAAAATTCTTGATAAACAAATGTTTATGATTAATGAATGATCATTTATTCTGATGTCTTTTCATGTAATAAAAACTCTATTATTATATGTAACTGGTATTAAGTGTTTTATTTATACCAGAAAAAATATTTTATGAGATACATTAAAAAAAATCTGACTTGATTTTTTTTTGCTAAAACTAATGCCGTGTGGACAAAATCCTTTGGGTGGAAGGTGATGCCACCCTTCCTGTGCATATGTCAAAATTCTCACACTGGTAGGCCACATCAGCTCCTGTCTATTATGCCTAGAGTATAGACATGTAGTGTGCATTTGTCAAATTTTCATTTTCATGCAAGATGACTGAATGCATCAAGCAGCAATATTGCATCAAGTTTTGCCAAAAGCTTCATGATACTCAAGCTCAAACCATCCAGAAGATTCAACAGGCCTTTGGCAATGATATCAAGGACAAAACTCAGATCAAATAGTGGTATAGCTAGTTCAAAAATGGCCACACCTCAGTGGAGAGTGAGGAACACTCAGGCAGGCCATCCACAAACTGAAACAAGGAGCTGATTGAGAAAGTTTGGCGAATAGTCATGAAAGATTGTTGTGTAACAATCTGGGAAATGGTTCATGAAGTGGGGATAAGCACAGGATCAGTGCATTCCATTTTAACAGAGGATTTGTGTATGCGGAGAGTGTTAGTGAAATTCCCCCACTCATTTCATTCAGATAATCCAAGCTTTGCTGGTCAAAAACAACACTCCATTTGTTCAATAGGCTTCCTACTCTCCTGACTTGGCACCGTGTGACTTCTAGCTCTTCCCCAATCTAAAAACCACATTGAAAGTGAAGTGATTTGAGTCACAAGAGGAAATTATGAGAAAAATGATAATGGAGCTCCATAGTGTTCCAGAGGTGTTACTAGCAGTGGCAAAACAGCTGGGAGAAGTGTGTGAACTTTAGTGAGTTTTCATTAAAGTGCAGATGAAACTGTTAATGGTCAATAAAAGTTCAAATTTCATTGAACATCATTTCTTTGCTTACAACAATTTCATATTGGGCTCTGAAATTGCTTAAATATATAACCATACATGACCAATATTTGTTCTAAATTATTTTAAATACATATTTCCTCTAGCCATAAACTTTATTGTCTTTGAAAGTTAAGCTCTCAACATATGAGATGCATGTTTTAGAGTTGTTTAAAGATACTTCATACTACTTAATGGTTAGAGAGAATTTCATTGAAAAAGTTGTAATAATAAGCAACCATATGATGAAAATATTAGTTAAAAATTAATAAATATTGTTTTGCTATGATTTGTAATGACTTGAAGGGTGGGCAAAAATTGATTTCTTAAAGAAAAATAAATGTCTAGCATTTAATCCTCTTTATAACAATCTTCCAATTAGAATCCATGCCACTCATAATGTCATCATCTTATCACTTTATTGCATAATATAAGATATATCACAGATGGTTTTAATGTTTAAGAAATTTCAAACAATGAACATATCCCTAGTGATTCCCTTGTTTTTTTTGTTTTTTTTTGAGCACTTGAGTTAAATTTTAATAGCAAATGATTAACAGCAGAAATTTACTTTTTATCTCAAATATTAATTTTATTAAATTTCAATAACTTATTTATTATTATTGTTGTTTGTGTTCATTCTATGTAATAATGTAAACCTAATAACTTTAATAATTAAATATTACACTTAATTTATCATTTCAGTTTCTGTGGCAGAATATCCTATATATTTAATAAGTATTTATTAACTATGAATTTCTTTGGATATATATTTCCTTATTTTAGTATCTCTTAAAATTAATATAAATAAATTATGGTTCAACTCACTGTTCTTGTCTTGCCTCCAAATCAAACTGCTCATTTTTAAGATGCTTGTTGATTTCTGTTTTTACATTGTTGATAAATATTTTCTGGTCAGTTACATCTTCCCACTTCAAACGTTCTCTTGCAAATTTTTCTTGCACAGCATCTTCTTCAGCCTGTCTTAGCCACTGTTCACGTTGCATACATTTTAAGGCATTTTTTTGAGCAGCTGATGAATGGAACTTCTTCTCGATCTGTAATAACAATAAAAATATGGGCTGTGCAAAAATTATATAATTTTTCTTTTGGTTTATTATGGTTGATTTAGGATTATTTATGAATATTGTTTTGCAAAGAGAGAATAAACAGAAAAGCATAAATATAGAATTATGATTCACCAATTTTTATATATTGGTGACATTATACCAAACTCAATTGAGAATTAAATTCTAATTTAGTCACATATTCAAGAATTTGATGTAACTGCTGTTACAGGATGCTAGTATGTTTGGGTAAATATTAGTCACCATTATGTTGCGGGAATCAAAACTTTGGAGAGTAAATATTTATGGGCTCCTGGAATATTTGTCCTACAAACAATATTGACAGACTCAATGTGAATCCAGGTGAAAATGAGTAACACAAAACAATATATATAAAACAGATGACAATGCATGTATTAACAAAAGGAAGTGCACATGGAGACAATTGTAATGCAAGGAAAAAACATTAAAACAAGTTATAAGAAGAATGTGTTTGTGATACACACGTGTGTGAGAGAGTTCCAACATCAAAGGAGGACCAAAGAAGTGAATGTGCCTCAACGGAAGGGTACCTATCTACTTGTGACTATATCTGAAAGACAGAGCTAAAAAGAACCAAAAAGAGAGCGAACAAGAATATCATTGCCTATTTATAGGCTTAAAGAGCACTCCTAGCATGTCTTGGCACATACTGCTTTATTGAATAGATTTTCTTTACCATTTATTTATGTATTTTATTAAAAAAAAACTTTGAAATGACAAATTTTTTTGACTCTTTAGAGGGATGTACTTTTTTTTTTTTCTAAAAGTAATATTGTGACATTTATCAATTTCATTTTTAACCAGAGTATTATTACTTGTTTGTGACATTTTATGGTGAAGTTGACAGGTTTTTTATGAATAGAGAAAAAATTGGAAAGAGGTTTATAAGTTTTGGCAGTTTTGATTGTCAAGATGGTCATCAGTGGAGCAAAATATATGTAGCGGGCTGTTTGCACATGTTGTGGGACAAACATGTGCATCTCCTGAAATAGCCCACTACAAACATGGCAAACTTGGAGTATGTACCTAAGGAAATGTGAGGAAAACAAAAAATACTGGTGTGTATGTATATATATAAAATGTATTCATACATTGAATCAATTAGCAATATTAATGCAATTAATGGCGAAATCTCTTTGCTAACAGACTTAATATAAGCATTAAACTACTAACAATCCACTGAATGATGCGATCCTTATGTATAAAATTGTTGTCAGATGGATCTGGTGTATTTTTTAGAGCAGCAAGTACTTTCAAGAACTTCATGTCCTCATCATCAGGCTGTAATTTTTTCCTTTAACTTGAAGACGAAATAAATGTGTTGTAGACTGAAAGATGTTTTTTTAAGAATGTGTTATTTATTAATGATTATATAATATTGGAATGTGCACAACAGGTATATGTGTACTGACATACAATAAAGGTTAGAATTGACAAAGTCAATAATTAGTGTGTATGAATGTAGAAAGTTTGTGGTCAAATTATGTGTAAGTGAATGTTTATACGTACGTGTGTGTGTAATGTTCATGCATGTTTCTCAAAGCAAATGCATAGCACCCCTCACAAAGGGGAAAACGCAAATCTTCACGAGAGATTTATATACGGCTTCAGCTGAAAAGTGAGAAGAAAAGAGAACGAGGCAAGGTATCGCCGAGTTTATTTAGTATATGGAGAGTGTTCTCAAGTAGCGGTTTCAAAAATTAGGAAATTAAGGAGGAGGTAACTCTGACTGTTGGAAAAACAAGTAGGTAAATTTATGAGATTTCAGAATATATTGTCTTCTTCTAAATCTGGCTTGATTTTATAGACACTAATTCTAAAAGCAAAAAAAAAAATAAATTAAAAATTTAAGAGAATAATTAAAAAAGAACTAAATTTCTAATTGAGGCAACTGATGTGGTATTTACAGCAGATTCTTGTAAATGATATTATTCTTAAATTTTTTAAATAAGCCAGTGACTGAAAGGATTTTTTTGATTTTCTTATACTGATTGTAATTTTCAAAAAAATGTCTATAAGTGTCTCTTAAGATGATTTATTTTATGCAAAGAACTTGTTTAGTTTTTAGTGATAAAGAGTAATGATTAAGATTCCCATGTACATTGGAAAATAGGGACCTAAAAATCTTAGCCTGCAAGAGATACAAGTTACTTGCAGTAACCAAGGTTTTCTAATTGTTAATTATCTTGCACTGATCTGTTCAGATCTCTTTTATTTATGAGTTTGTGACGTGAGTAATTTTGTCATCAGTTGTTTTAATGAATCATGCCTGTTAAAAATATCTACTTTTTTCACTCCTCCATAGCAATGATTAACTTTTCCCCATTGTTCCCAACAAAATGCAAAGAAAAAAACTCTACATCCTGTTAAGATAATTTTTGTCCCTCTTTCCTAAGTAATATCCACTGTGTATAGATGTTCATGTAAAACCTTAATGGCCAATCAGCAAATCCTTGTTTTAACAGAAACAGTGTTCACAGTACTGGAGGAGACAGTTGTTTAGCATTTTGCTACCACTTTCTTTCGATGTCAATTTTTGTACAAACTAAACACCAAAGTGGATCACAGAGCCTTGATATTTCTCTGACTCCTGATTGGTCAATTAATGTCAATATCATGCTTTTGTCTACGTCCACATGGTTAAAATTAATTTACTACCAAAAATCTGTCTATGTGTTTCGAGCCTATCACATGACATACAACATTATAAATATTTAGCAACATCTTCAACTCTTCCTCTTTTGCTTTCTCTCACACACAAGATGTAACGTTAGAGAGATTACATCTGTCCCTTATAGAAAGACATTATGACACACACACACGTACAAACATTACAAATCACTTAACTCATCTTATTCACTCCTTCAACTACAAGAACACAGAAACTTATTTAACTTCTAACCATGAGATTTTCTTCAGTAACAAACATGCTGTCCGAGAGAATACAACTTTCAACTCTTACCAGTGAGACCCTTTGAACATCAACAGTATACATTGCTGCCATGTCAGTTAAGAATTTAACTTAGTTTTCAACTCTTACCAGTTTTTCACCAGCGAGAAATATTACTCCAAAATCTTCTGGAGCTATAATTTTTGATTCAACATATTCCAGAATTCTCTTACTCATATTCATCTCTCTTCGTCGAACAATTTAAGCGGCAAGTTATTTCAACTTCAAAAAGTTTTGTTATTTCTAGAAAACATATTGTTGTTTTGTCTTGTGCCATAACCAAAGTTAAATGTTTGTGGAGATGATAATTTTGTTCATGCAGCCAAAACAAATAATACCTTCTGATATATGCATATTTTTCCTAATAACCTACTCCTTCACAACAGTTGCACCACTGCCTTCTGAGTAAAGACAATCCCTTTTTTTAATCTCTTTCACAGGGTCTGAAAGTTTTAAAAAATTCTCTTGCAAATTTATAATGGGATTTTAAAGAAATTTATGGGAGAATACATCATAAAAACTCGTAATATTTTGTTTAAAAAGACTTTTAATAAAAAAGTGATGAAACTCAATGAAGAGACAATTTTAAACATTATTTGCATTTTCCTACCATTGTATTTAAATAAAATTTTTAATAATCTGTTTAAAAATACTGATTTATGATCTATTCTAAAACAAATTATATAAATTAAATTTAGTAATATGTAATTTTTTATATCAAAAATCAAAACGTGGCAACAGTTTTAAAAACTTTTTTTTTGTTACAATTTTTTATTTATTTATTTTTTTTTTTTTTGTAAAATTAGGATTTTAAAAAAAAATTACTAATTTCAGTTTACAACTAAAAAAGCGAAAACTATAGACTAGTTATTTAAAACATTATTAGTCGATTGTTACTAAGTTTGTTTTTTTTTTTTTTTATTATTTTATAATTTTACTTACTACACCAAATGTGTGGATTTGAGGTCCTCTGATTTCACGATTACGAATTTTCCTTTTCGGCTGTACGGGCTCCAAAACTTTCATTTTGCTGGCTAACATCTTTTCTTTTGTCCTTGCTATTCGCAGGATCGTTTATTCCTTAGCCCCTTTCTTTAGTTGGGCCGGTCTGTTATTACTCTACATTATTTTGCCTTCTATATCCTAGTAACAGTTGTGTGGACACTTGATAGGTATTTATTTACACTGATAACCGTTGTCAAGGAAGTGACGTCACAGTCTCGTTAAAGTCTCATTCTTGACTGAAGCGGTAATTTTAAGTCGGTTCTGATTTGAATCACAACGTCGTATATTGTGATATTTTTTTTTTTTTATTTATCCTTTGGATGGGATTTACCAAGAAGGTAAAAAAAAAAATAATTAAGTTTTAAAGATATAATATTATTGTGTTCTGGATCAATAACGTTTTATGTAGAAGTGGTAAGAAGCGGAAACGTTTTAAAAAGCATACGTACCGCCAACTACTGAATCAAAAAATAAAATTTACAAGTCTCAAACGTTTTGTTAGTTACATAAAGAAAGTTTAAACTTTAGTTTAAACTGAAACTTACATCAAATATTCAACTATATAATTAATAGGCTTCTTCTAATGAGAAAGAAACGTTATATTTTACTTTTTGTTAATGCTCCGTTATTTTTTCTTGAGAACTTTAATGTTGGTTATGTTTGCGCGAGAATAAAGAAGTAGAAATAAGTTTTTCTATTTTTTAAAAAAACTAAAAGGGCGCTATTATTACACTTTCGCACACCCCTAAAAAGTAAAACACAACCAGATAAATTTATAAAATGAAAAGAAACTTATTTTTAAAACAGTTTTATTTATCCTAAGTTTGACTTCATAAAATTAATTTTTTAAAGTAACAACAGTTGGACTTGCAATTATTAATAATTAAAAAAAAATTTAATTTACAAACACTAGCAATGGTTTTTTATTTTTACTTTTTAAAAAGATTCTGTAATGTAAAATTAAAATTGTGTTTCTGTAAAATGTGTTTCTAAAAAGAAAGTCAGAAAGATAATGAAATGTATTATTTCAAATTAAAATCCACAAATTATGAAGCAAATATTAAGAAAAAAAAGGAAAATCTATTCGTATTTATTTTTTAAACTAAAAAAAAAAAAGCTGAAAACATCGGGGGGGCCAAAGTGTAATAACGCCAATAAAAGAAATGCAAGTAGAAAAAACAAAACTGTTTATAATTTTCAATAAAAATTAAAATCATTTGAAAATGAAAATATGTCATTTTTTTTGTTAGTTTACTTAATTAAATTCTTGAATTTATTTTTAATTTTTTCCTTTTTATGATAACAAAGAGTGTACTATTTTCTCAGAAAATATAGTTTTTTTTTTGTTTTACTTTATTGATAGTATTTTTATTGTTTTGTTTGATAGAATTTTAGAAGTAGTTCGATGTACTAAGTTTGTAAATTGAACTTTTTTTGTGTCCGTTTTCTTAAAAATATTTAATACTACCAGTAAAACTTAAAATTTAAGACTTTGCTAATTAATCAGACGAACAAGCAGCAAGTGAAGTAAATAAATTAAAGTTTTCAAGTTGAATGTTTAAAAAAGAAAATTGCTTACAATTTACATTTATTAAATAATTGTTCTCCTTTGAACTGACCTAGTGGTGTACTTAAAAATTACTTGAAAAACGTCAAATAAAATTGCCACAATATTGAAAAAATATCGAATTTAAAAAAATCAATTTTAAGATTCATTAAGTAAACAAACAAACAAACAAAAAAATTAGAATGACACTGACACTCGTTCATAACAAAAGACTGGTGTGATGTGGCGTGTATATTTGCATTGTACTCTGGTTTTTACCTTAACCATAAGTAAGTAGTTCTTTAAAATAAAGTCTACTTAATTACGTAATTAACTTTAAATAGATATTTACGGTCACTACTTTTCTTGATATTTCATTTTTTTCAATAATTTTGAATTTGAAAATTTTCTATATTGCATATTTAAAGTAAATATTTCATATTAAATTTGTATTTATAAAATATAAAATGTATATTTTCTTTTTTATTTAGTTAGCTCCATTTCTCTAAAGTTGTTTGCTTGTCTGATTAATTAGGAAGGATCTTCTTTTGAATGTTATTTATTAGTACTATTTCTATTGAAGAAAAGATTTAAAAAAATATTAGTTGCTTCCCTTACAACTGGCATGCTGAGAAGTTTGTGTTTAAATGTTTGTCTCTCATATTAAATTTCATTTTATTATAAAAATGTTTTGTATGATGTGAGTTATTTATTAATTATCACTTTCTGAAATAATGTAAAAATGATAATAAATACACATGCATTTAAGTACATTTAGCTACAAGAAAATAGACTTTTTAAATGTGGAGACTACTGAACTAAGTGAACACATTTAAAAATTCATGTCGAGTACTATCTCCTTAGAAATGATGGCACAGCTGGCATTTTTATTTCATTATTTTATTTTGTCATTGTGAAAATGTAATTTTAGTCTAATTATATCATAAATACTTACTGAATAACTTACCTAACTCTCTTCATCACAATAAGGAATTATTATATTGTTGTCCAATGTCTGTGCACAATAATTATTCTTGTTTTCTGTTATTGCATTTTATACTAATTTGTTGTTTTTATCATGTACATTCTTCTTCAGGTTTTGTCAAAATGGAACTAAATGCATCATTTACTGATCTTTTCTCACATTTTGACCAGAAGTTACAAGGACTCACTATTTGTTTGGCCATTAAACAGAATTCAGGTCAGGAATGGCAGGAGGCTCTCCTTCACAATGTTGTCTCACAATTGTCTTCCCTCAGAATATCTTTGTCACTTATTAAGAGCAGGCTTCGCGAACAGAAAGAAATACTTGATAAAGCCAATGTGAGTTGAAACAATTTTTCAAATAGAAAAGTAATTATCTCCTATGCTTTTAAATGTTTCATATCCATGTAAATTTTCAATATTAGTTATATTTTTACTCTAATACATATATGCATATGCCTATGTGTAGAATATATATTACATATAATGTGCATATACTTTTAATATGTACTATATTGGGCCACCCTCTGGATTTAATAATTAGTAACTTTCTTACCCTCTTTAGTTTAAATAACTCCTACTAAGCTAGAATGCTGAAACTATTTAACCCATTAGTGCATGGTGTGCAATTTTTTAAAGAAGTTTTAGGTTTTTACCTAAAATTTGAAATCCTAAGTCCTAAGATTACCATGAACCAGCAAGGAAGATTAGGCAAAAAGAGCTAAAATTTTAAAGAAACTTTATGCAGTAATGAATTAATTTCATTATTATTATTAAATATATTATAAAAAACTTTCAGAAGGAAGAGAAAGTACCTCTGACTTAAAGTGAACTAGTAAGTTAGTTTAGAAAAAGGCATGCAACCTTCAATTATTAAGTGATTCTTTGAAATTCAGATGGTGGCCCCAAACATTTTGTCTATAGTGTACATACACATAATATGTGTATTTATATATCACTAATCAACTGACCTGGCATAGACTGGAGTGTTGAGAGCTGGTTAAATGATTCTCTAGACTAGGGCAAATCCGTTTCATTTGAGCCTGACTATAAAATTCATTTGATGCATGACTATAAAATGGAGTTGGTAATTAAAGCTACCAGATAGGTAGTTAGAATTTGATGAGGTATGGTCTCAAATGGAACCAGGAGAAGTTAGGAATTTACCTCATGTTAAGTTGAAATTTATGTCTCTATAGTTGAAAACTTGCAGACAAGAAATGAGTTAAAATGAAAAAAAAAATACTGGTAGATTCAGATACTTGGTATGAAGTAAAAATATAGGCAAAGTGAAGAGAATTCAGTATTCAAGTTAAATACTGAACATTTTTTGTTTCCTCATTTTAAGGACTGAAAAAGAATTTGTTCCTCATTTCTGTTTGGGTTCTAATGACAGTTTTTTTACTTTTTTTTTCCTGTTACATAAAATGATATAAAATTTACATGAACATTTTCTTGTGTTTGTCTTTGAGTTCTCACATGCACTTATTTTCTGTGTTTCTCTGAAATTCTGGCTTGGTGTCTCAAGCCATGGCACATTTATAAGAAGTAAAGATGCAATCTAAAAGCAACACTTAGAAATTTATGTAACCTGTAGATTAAAGCACTGACACAAATGCGCACAAATATATTTTAGATTATGAACAAATTTTATCATTCCCTTATCTCATTTGTTTCTGTTAAAAAAAAAATAAATAAATATTTTTTTTTTGCAGATTTTGAAAAACAAATTGCAATCAGCTCTTGAAGTTGCAAACTATGCTAAAGAGAATATTCCAGAACATTTATCCAGGAACATTCCTACCCAAGTTAATGTTTCTGAAACGGAAAGGTATATATTGATAATCATTTTTATCATTGGTTTTCCTTGCTTACACAAGTTTTTTTTGCTATTTATCTTCTATTTTTATGGACTCATTGGGAATTGTTTTCCAGCCAAATTTCTTTTTTGATTCCATTTTATAAGGTTTTCAAACTGTTTTTGGCTAACCATCATTCTTTCATTGATTTGTCAAAATATTTGTCTTTTCTATAAAATTCAATAGCAGAAGTCCCCAACATTGCCTGGGAGAGAGAAGGAAAAAAAAAAGAAAAAGAAGTACTATTAATTGCAACATAATGATCATATGCACACAAACCCAACTTTTTTTTCCTCATAGTCAATGAACACTCATATTATGCCTGAATGAAGATTATGTAAATTTTTTAAACAGAAATGTTGTGGAAGGGAAAATGTTTTCAGATTAAATTTGACTGTGATTTGTATGACATTACTATGCCATAGATTGTAATGGTAGCATTCACTGCAGGATTTATTTAACCATTTCACACCAAGCAATCCAATAAAGTCACTGAGAAGCAAGGGGTTACCAAGTGTGAGAGAATGAGAAAAAGAAAACATTATTGAGAGAAAACAATAAAAAACAAAAGATAATGATTGACATTTAAATTTTTGAAGATCAAAGATGACTGGAAAGAAAGAAGCCAGAAGAAAGTTCCACAAGTG